TTGCTTTCCCAAAAGGTGTTGATAATACCTATGCGAGGTCGAAACTGCAGTCTAACCTGGATGATAACACGTTTTGGGAAAGCAAGACAATGTGAAATTCAATGGAAAAGTCAGCTAAACACATATAATTGCGGGAAATTTTTACTACCATTCCTTCATCATCTTAAACGAAATAGTGAGCACATCTCATATTACTGATTCACTGGTATTCTCGAAACTCTACTAACATACGAAAAATAGATAGTCTTTTTGTCTTTTTTGCATTTCAGCTTGAATGATGGGTCAAAATAACTATTTATATGAAAAAAGATCCAATTAAATGAAGAGTATGGGATTTATTATACACATATTTGTCCAAAATAATACCTTATTTGTGAATTAAAAGTTATAGTATTGTGAGGAGAATCAAATATCTTTCCATTAATCAAGTCCTTATTGACTCGCGAACCATTGCTCCTTCCTAATTTCATTATCAACTAATCATTACTCGTAAAAAGAATAAAGTATTTGAATTATTCTTACCTCGCTGTCACATAGTGAAATGATCATCCAGAGTATTAGCCCACAACTTTGAGCTAAATGAAACGTATTCGTTTAAGTCGTTTTGTGATTCTTTGTGAACATGAAGTTAGCACAGTAATGGTGCTTACCTTCGCTGAGGTCTGACTAGCGATATGCCGGACGAAGACTGGGCAAGCTCTTCTCTCAACCAAAGGACAGCGCCAGCTTGGAATTCCTTCCTTGGTTACTCTTCTCTATACAATTAATATAGCCAAGCAAAAGCAGATCAACGTCTCGATGATGCCCTCATCGTCTACAAGAGGGCGGGAATTAGGTAATTACTATGAGATGTATTCACACTATTTCGTCTAAGGTGATGAAGGACTGATAGTAGAATTATCCCACAATGATATGAGTTGAGCCGACGTTTTCATTGAATTTCACATAGCGTCACATCAGCTCAACTCATAGCATTGTGGGAAAATTCTACTACCAGTCCTTCTTCACCTTAGACGAAATAGGGTGAATACATCTTATATTACTGATCTACTGGTAGTCTCGAAACTCTACTCTAATACGAAAATAAGTAATTACTGTTTTATTTTGCCCATTTTATCGCGTATTCCTCTTCCTCATTGTTAATTTTGTTTTTCCCACTATACATGATCAACTGTAAATTGGCTAATGGGGAATTCTAAAATACTACGGTGAACTAGACTGTTTAACTAACTTGCATTAATTTTATATTGCCGCTGCATTATATCATACCTCTAGTAAATCACAGTATTACTCAGAATTATATTTAGCAACATTGTGGCACAAAAACAAATGTAGTTTCGGAGTAATGCAATGCATCAGCGTCACGGCTACAGATTATAATTCCTATCTTGGATACTATGAGTTTGGGTGATTTTGTTTCTCCATCCGAAGATGGATCGGGTCGAGCGGCAAAGTGCCTATTAGGGGGCATCGGAATGAGTTGGTATGAGGTTTTAAGGTCAATAAACATAATGAAAAAGGCAATTCCAACAAACCTATGATCGGCACAGAGACGAGAAGGAGGATAAATCGGCCAATTGTTCATGCGCTGTCTATGCACTGGAATTGTGGAGGTGGCCAGAAGACAGGCTTCCAAGAGTCCTCTTTCCACCTCTCCAGAGGCCCCATTCCCGGCAGGCCTGAGGAGGAGAGGAGGAAAGCTCATCTCGTTGACAACCGCTGGCCGACGGATAGGTCGACGCTTAGACTCGCCACCTCGAAACTCCATACTTGGCAGGAGATAGCCTCTTCTCGGATGTCCCTCCGGCGAGACGGACTTGGCCTCATCCAACGAGGAGCCATGATGAGGCGGCCGAGTGGAGTCTTGACGACCGATTGCGCCCTCCCTTAGCCTGTGAAGCGGGTACTTGGGCGAACAGACCAATTTGGCCCCGGTTGCTGGGGCCGGTAGCTGCTTGGGCATGCATCCTCGAGAGGTTTGAGCAGGTCGGCAGGTCGGATCGACACGAAGAGGTTCTTTCCTGCCCAGATTTTGCAACTCCTTTACCCTCGCTCTGACAACTGAGCCCTTTGATGTGCCACCCTCCCGCTGTTCCCTAATGCTATTGGTCTCGTCTTTAGGACAGGCAAGCAAGTGGCCCCGCGGTGATGCTGGATGGTCCAGTTTGGCAGAGACCACTTCACCTCCAAGCAGAATAGCCTTTTTCATTGGTGACAGTTTGTGTTCATCCAAGACGTCCGAGGCATCTTTGTTCGAGGCCATTTCGCCTGCTTTACCCTCCACTAGCAGATAGTGAACTTCTATCTGAGGAATCAAGTGATCTGGCCGACTTGCCAGATAGCGTTTGTGAAATCGGGCTTTGTCACAACGGGATCCAACCAATGCATCCGATTTTTTCTCCTCTACTACAGGCTCTTTGGGGTCTTGGAATACGGCTTTCTGGAGTTCAGCCTCTATCAGGTACTGTGAGAATGAAAGCGAATTAACAATTAATACAGACAAGTCTTACATTTATTTTTCGTTTATAAATAGGGTTACAAGACTACCAGCAAATGAGTAATATAAGATGTATTCACCCTATATCCTTTAAGGTGATAAGGGACTGGTAACAGAATTTTAACACAATGAAATGCAATGAAAACGTCAGCTTTACTCTTATCATTGTGGGAAAATTCTACTTAAATAGGGTGAGTACATCTCATATTACTGATTTACTGGTAGTCTTGAAACTATTCTTAGATAAGCAAAATAAGTAGCCTAGTCTATTGTTATAGCACAAATAAGTTTGCTTAATCGGCAATGCCACCAAATAATGTGATATGGGAAAAGGTCTGGCCTTCCTTGAAATTCACATCTTCCCTGTGACTCAGGAGCACTCGTAGCAATGTGGACGAGTGGTTAACGTGTCAAGCCGACATGCTTCACGTTCACGGTTCAACTCCCGCTGGGGGTGTTGCTAAGACCTATGCAAGATCGAAACTGCAGTCCACCCTAATTGAGAACACGTATTGGGAAAGCAAGGCTATGGTAAATTCAATGGAAACGTCAGCTCTACTCATATCATTGTGGGAAAATTCTACTACCAGTCCCTCATCACCTTAAACGACATAGGGTGAATATATCTTTTGTATTTATCGTCAAAAATCCTTATCACATCCCTCCTAAATGTGTCTTTGATTACTCGATCCAAGTATACAGAAAAAGGTTTTTTATAGGAACAAATTCAATATAACCAACCCAGTCCCTGGAATTTGGATGAATACATTTAACAAGCCGAGGCCCTCAAAGTGCTGGCTTGAAACGACATAGGAAGTAGCATCTTGAAAAAAGACTACAAAATTTCCCATAGTAGGTAATAATTGGTTAGTTATTGCATCATGATGAGATTCCTCTCTCTTATAATTCACAAATGCTCAGATTGCGATTTGCAAAGGAGGCTGAACTATTCCTGACTCAATATAGGCTCATAGTCTTGTCTTAATTCTAGCTTCCATTTATAGAAGCAATTAATTCCTGGTTTAATGCACAACTTATTTATTCGTGCCACCTTGTTCTTATTAAAGGTTTCGTCCATCTCTATGGTTTTTTGTTTAATCTTCGTTGTTTAATAGTTTAGTAAACTGAGAGAAGAGAAATAAAATAAGCTGAGTCACTTTTTGAAAAAGAAGTGTATTAAACAGTTAATTAATTTTATTATTTTTGACTAATATTAATAGCTTTTATTCATACTAAGTCTACTTCAAAACTGTCGACAGAAATTAAAGAACACAGCTAGACCCTCTAGGTCTCAGTAGGTGATGAAAGACCGATAGTGGAATTATTCTCGCAATCAAATGAAATGGCCGCATGATGAAAATGAATTTTCTTTTATCATCCAGGCTGGACTGCAATTGTTACCGGCAACTCTCCTTCATGGAGTTAATATGCTTAAATGACCACTTGGATGCAGTTGGTCGACCCACATCGGAGAGACAATAAATCTCATTCTGGCCGACATCCCGAAAGTAAACCTTTATGCTACTTGGGCTTACAACTGACCTCGCAAGACTACCCAGTGAAAGTCGAATTAAGAATGTAGAGGTTCAGAGGTTAGCGCATCGGCCTCACAACGATTCACCTTTGGCGCCAGAGTTCAAGCCCCGCTAATGTCGGTAGTTTATTTTTAAAAAAGCTAATATTTATCTTAATCTGAATAGTTCAGTCTTTATTGCGACCTCCACGTCAGCCATTGGTACTGGTGATTAACAGGGCGGCTTTGATTTTCAAGTAATGCCACATTTTATTGCGTTTCTGTCGAAGAGGCTATCATGCATTTGCCATTGCCGTTTACGACGCTACCTTTATTTAGCATCAGTATGAATCGAAGCTTCAACCATAAATCAGCAACCAAAAGTGGCTTAAGGTGATTTAGGGACCGATGCTGGAGGCTTCTCAGAGTTAAATAGCTGCAGAAATTCAGTCTGGAATTAATCATTCTATGTTTCAACCCTGTATGGTTATGAAGTGGAGATTGGCTACTTATGAGAACTTTCGTTATATCCTTGTCAGACGTCTATAATCTAGAGGCAAAGTCCGAGTTGGCTAATACTTGCTAAGAAATGTCCATTGTAATCAGTTGGTTGAGACTGTCAGAAATCATATTGTTGATAGGATGCATCATTTTTCGCATAAGGCTACAGGTAATCACAACAATACCACGCCATAATAATTAATAATCCCACCAAGAGGGTTAGAGAGCAAAAATACAATGTCGGAATAGCATTGGTGCCAGAAAAGGATAAAATTTAAGGTGAAAAGTATCCCATTTCACAAATAAATAGTAATCTATATTCCTTTAAAATAGCAATTGTTATGGTTTTAAATACAGCCAATATAATTTTCTAATTATCAACGTTCAAACTGTCAATCCTCTCTGTATGCATTTATTGTCCCAAGTACTAAAGAGTGGCTGGAGCCTAGAAATGAGGAGAGTTTCAGAAGTGCCTCTTAAACGCAATTCAATGACAATAGTGGTCTCCTTTTTGAACAAGCAAGACCCTTCAGTATGATTTGAACCAGCAAATTCCAAAGCCCTATTTCTCCAAACTATGGATACTATCATCTGCTCTCTCCTGTTTAAGATATAGCGCACTCCGTGAAGTGATTCTCATCTAAATTCTATACTCAGTATTGGAGAACTAATATAGGCATTACATGGCTTCTACGCTGAGGAAGCAAATAAATTCTTGGAAATCCAAGAGTGTTTGTGGAACAGATGAAATGAACAAGACTGGTAGCGCAGCCAAATTGGCATTCATGAGGATCTGTGAAAAATAAGAGGCAAACCTCACAGCGGCGGATCGAATCGCAACTCTTCATCCCTATTTTTTGTTCTACCGTCCAGTGCTGCATCTCTTTCTCTCAACCCCACTACCGATTCACACAATTCTGTACTCCCTGCAAGAAAAAGGAGATCGTATACATGAAAACCTAGATGGTGTGACCTGTTAGGTCGAAGTCTCCTTCAACCGTAAAGCGTTGGTTCGACCTCGCTTTCGCAACTTGTTCGGAGCGACAGGAAGACCTTGTGCTAAGTTGCTAGTCCTGCGTCCTCTGCTATAGTCTTCGTGATTTCCAGCACCAGACCATTGAATTGTTACATTCCCAAATGTTTCGCCGGCATCGTAGTCAGCATCTTCAATGAGAGGCGCTATCGTAAGCACAGAGTTACAACTTATCAAAGTGGCACATGAAGGCAATCCCCTCGATCAATTTTGTGTTTAACCGTTGCGGCGTAACTCTTCATACCTATTTTTTGTTCTACCGTCTAGTGCTGTATCTCTTTCTCTCAACCCCACTACCGATGTCAGATTCACACAATTCTGTACTTTCATCTTTTCCACAGTCGTCTAAGAATGCCACCATAAGTGGATTTAGTAAAGCATACTCATCTTCACCACCGGTTTAAGATGCAGTTTGCATGTCTTCTGGCCTTCAATCACCGGACATAAGGCTCTAAAGAATGTGATGCAATGTGGTTGGGAATAAGGAAGAGGATAATTGGGTAATGGGTCTGAAGCCCAGGGAGATGAAGATGCTTAGACATGTGATCCTCGGTTCTAATTCCTCGAATATGACGTAAAAGTAGAGGAATTGAAGCCACATAGGCAACCAGATTTCAGATAGCCAGACCGTGATTTTAATGCGTAACAGCGACTAAATGATAAGTAGGGTGGCAGGAAGGGGGGACTTAGTGAAATCAGAAACCATGACCCATAAGCCTTGCAAATGGTATCTGAAAGCGGTGGAGAAGGTGAATATTATTCACAGAACCAACTTGGAGCGACACACTCATCGACGACATTGCGGAAAACGATGACAGAGAATGGTGTGAATAGGTAAATGGGTGATGTGAGGTGAGAAGTTGTTTGACCATACAAAAGGCCACACCATCCTGTTCCTTATACCCTCAATATGAGGTGAGGTTGAGAGAAGGAGATGCAGCACCAATATGTATGAAAATGAATAGAGGTGATGAGAGATGTCACAGCGTTTGAGCAAGAAATCAGCCAAGGGATTGTCTTTAATAGTTATTTTGATAAGTTGTAACTGCCTGAAGCTGCGACCAAGTTGCGAAAAAGAGGCCAAACCAACACTAAAATGCTATTTCACTT